TTTGTCCTGTTATTCAACTCACATATATCTTTGAATATGACATAGTTAAAGCTTTGACATCTGACGTCAGAATTGCACGCCTGGCTGCATTCAACTGAACCTCGACGAGCATCGAACGTCTTAAAGGTGTGTCCTTTTAACATCATTTGATAAATGGAGTAACTTTCGTAACACTCGTGAGTAGAGGTCTTTCGAATCATCAAAGACTCCATAAAGAGAAGAATGATAAGAGGTATTTCTTGTTGGAACGCTTTCATTATTGTCTGTGCAAAGAGAGGAAAGGTACATGTATCATCTCCAGCCGTGGTACTTGTGTATAAACAAAACAGAAATACACCGTTCTGTTTATTGCATCAATATGAAAACTGTGCAGCCAGGTCTGCCTAAGGGGCAAGAAAAAACAGGCTTTTTTCAACGATCTTTGCGTTTACTGGCGCTGTTGCATCACTGCATGCAAGAAGCGTACCGCAATATTTTAGTATATATACTGTACTTTGTTATGAAACAAAGGAGTGAAAAAGCTCACCAGCCATACTGCTGGGAGGTGCGAGAAGTTTAAATGGCTGTGTTCGGAAATTTTTTAGGTTTTATCTACATTTCAATTGATTGTTTACACAGTCCATTTAAGGGCCGTTGCAGTGCTTCTATAGTCGCCGATAACTTCTGGCATTGAGGGCCAATACACGGTGACTCGAGTGTGATTTATTTCTTCTTAGGAAGAGGTCCTAAAATATTGCTATACTTTGCCCTCTTAAAAGGGCCTAGTCATATGAGCCCGGTTGACTGAGATCTTGCCTCTCTCCTATTGCCTTTAAACAAATTTCGATGTGTTCACATGAGAAGGTGGGCGAGCCTATATAGTTACCGAAATATCGGTTTAATCTCTACAACCAAGATCTCGCCAACCTTCCAGTATAAGCACCCCAGCCTGGATAACCAGGAAAATATTTTCCTGACAAAATAGCTTTGCTTTCGTAATACTGAAAGCTACGGAAGAGGCCTGCATCATTTTGCCCTGTATGTATTTTCACTTCAGAAGTTTGCGAATTAGCTTCATTAGTAAATTTAACAGGGTAAACAAAGCTGCGACAGTTGCGAACGATACAACTTTGTGTGGCGCCTTTGGTTTTGTTTCTTGAATTTCGATCACGCCGGTCGACCAGGCGGAAATTTCTCATATGAACTGACACACACACACAAAAAAATCCGTGCCCGCAACCGAGCCAGCCCGGTTACAGAAGAGGCTGTTAGTGTAAGATACAGAAGATGCCACACAAATAAGCCTCAGAAACGGTTAAAATTAGCTAAATTGCTAAATCATCTTGGACGGTGCGTGTAAAGGGCCGGAAAATTGTGACTATTATGCAAATTTGTTGCTTCGTTTCCATTTCTATTCATGATTTCAAATCGAAACTTCCTATTTAAACCTTGCAGACCTTGAAGTTTAAAAACTTGAAGATTAATTCAGCCCTACAGGACGCTGTAATTTACATCGAAATCGAACCGTGACCCTCGTAATGTTTTTTTTCTTTTCTTTTTTTTTTGATATCCGACTAGTAATAAAGAGAGTTTCGCCTCCTTCCTTCTTTTTCCTACCAGGGATAAGACAGCTTTGCAATCGGCAAGTGATATTTTTAAATTTTACCTATGACCCAACAAGGTTTACTCAAACTATCCCAGATTTTCTGTATTTTAAAAGCAATCTTGAAAAACAATCATTTATATGGTGTTTTTTTTTTTTTCGAACATTGAATTTGATAATCATCAAAGCGCGGTCGAAGCTCGGCCGTTCGCCTAGTCTATACAGTCGACTCCCGATAACTCGAACCTTCAAGGGAAATTGAAGGTTCGAGTTATCGGGAGTTGAGAACAAATGACCAAAAATAAGGAAAAAACGCTGATAGTTTGTCTGTTCATGCAGTGTACATTTTAATCACATTTAATTACAGAATAAAGTCAAGTGAAAATAACACAAACGGAACGTAACGTAATGTGAAAGATACAACTTACAAAGGAAAGCAGCAGCGAGAAGTCCAGGAACTGTGGACTGTACAGCGTTTTTAAAGAGAACAATGTCGGGTTACTGGTACAATTAAAGCTCATGCGATTTACATTTTCAAAGTTCACGCGATTTCCTTTTTCTATTCATGCAGTGTACATTTTAATCAAATTTAATTGTACAGTATAGGGAAGCCGAGTGAAAATGGAACAAAACAATTCTTAATTTGGTATAAACTCTACTCGTGTTTTGTGTAATGTAAAAGAAGGAAAAAGTTCAAACGGCTGCTTCAAAATGAATTTGACGTTTTTGACTACACTGTTTGTTTTGACTTGTCACCTATTGAAAGACATGGTTGGAGTTATCGAGGGTAAAATTATATAGAAAATGACCTGAAGGGAATCGAAAATTGCTTCGAGTTAGCGGGAGGTTCGAGTTATCGAGGGTTCGAGTTACCAAGAGTAAAATTACGGTAAATGTATGACGGAAATCCAGGGGAAATCGATTTTGGTTCGAGTTAGCGAGGGTTCGAGTTATCCGGAGTCGACTGTATATCTTTAACTTCTATAATCCTTGAGCTCTTCGCAGAGACCAAAGTCATTTCAGTGACTGATCTATTTCCCAATTTCTGCGCATCATGCGCTGTTTCAGAAATTAACTCGGCGATAACCAAGTGTCTGAACTGCAGTAAAAAGGTTAAACAAAGTTACTTGCCTGGTTAAAAAAGTTGGTTTTTCCCGAAGTCCCAGCCAAGTCCTTTCGATGTGGCGACAAACACAGACTCGACTAAGAATTGGCTTAAACATGCAGGTGATATGACGTACAGCTGTATACACTGTATCTACCCCTGCGGTTCTTTGATATCGAGATTTTGTAAATGATATTGACGTCGCGCCGTACAGTGCATTGAAACTTATTAAATCTAATTAGTTATATTCTTAATAGCAACATCGACCATAGAGTTGTTTTCCTAAAAAAGCCCCTTATTGATACGGCTTTTAGTGTTCTCTGCGGGTAATGTTAATCTGCCTATAACTTCCTAAAATTCTTTTTTCTTAGAACAAAAATATATGCATTTCTGACAGGAGAACGCCAAAATAAAAAGAAAACTTGCTTTCGGTTCAAACCTCGAAACATTTGTTTATGGATTATCCTAACAAATTCGGCGAATATCACAATGAGAAGGCGACATTAGGGACCGTTCGTCCTGACATATTTGCCTCAATCAGGCATTGAAGGGGTGCGGGGGGTAGTGGACAAATTCTATGGCTTTTCCTGAACACCATCAGAGCGCATTTTGGTGTTTCCGTGGCAACCATGTTAGCAAGGGTGTTTTAGCAAATTAGATGCTTTTACTAAAAAAGTTAACGTTAAAAAGCAATGACGTTTCGACCGTTCGACTGTCATTTTCAAGTTGAAAAGTAAAATTTTGGCATGCGCCCAAATCTATACAATCGATTATAAGAATGCTAATGAGACACTGACTAAAACTCTAAAATAATTACGTTGAAACAATACAAGAAATAGTTGCTTCGCGCGGATCGAGTCACTCTGTTTGTTCAATTTTGGTTGAAGTTTACGAGTTTGGTTGAAGTTAACTTTTTTAGTGAAATCCGTTTCTAAAAATTTGTAGATGCTTTTAAGCTTTAATTTAGGTTACAATGTATGTACCTTTAGAGTACCTTCAGAGGTGTCTCGCGTCCGGTTTGAACCGTAAATGCCTAAACGACTACATCAAATTAAAGCTTATAAAGCTGGTTATCACATTAAAACAAGAATTTTGAAATAAAATGAATTGCGGAATTTTTCAAGACCTCTAAATGTGAGTGTCTCTTTTGAAAGCCGTAAATCAAAAGGAACTTGTTCGTTTGCCGTCAAATTTGAGCAGTAGCTAGTTTGACACAAAAACAACAAGAATTTGTTTGCGAATTTTTTTATTTCCAAATGTTTTTTCTCCGAAAGTGATTTTTCTACGATCACTCCATATTTTTTTTCTGTTCTTTAACTTTCACTGAAACTGTATATGGCTAATCGTAGACACGTTTTATATGGCTTTGGCTCCGAAACTGAGGGATAAATTATATAAGCGAAAAACAAAATTTGCTTTGACTCTTAGCTTTCAAAAGGTGATTCGGACGCTCGCATATACAGGTCTCAAAAATTGTGCAATTTTTTTCATTTCAAAATTCTTGGTAAAGTGTGATAGCCAGCTCTACTAAGCTTTAATACGATATCACGTAGCCCTGCGGTGGCTATAATCACCTCATATTCAACAAGCGCGAATGGAATAACTGTTTTATTAGAAACGCCCCCAAAATATAGAAAACTAGACTAAAAAAAAAAAAACACGCCCCAAAAATTTACGCATACACGTACCATATTCGTAGAGTACGGTATAATGGCTCATAACCCATGATGGCTAAGCCAGTGAAAACTCCGGCTCGAATTACATTACCCAATGATCCAGTTTTCAATTAAAGGGGTTTAGGTATCTACAATTTAAACCAGACGAGCTACATCCCTTAGACCCGATACACCTCTAAAGGTGCTCTAGAGGAATACGGTAACCTTAGGCTTAAAAGCACCGTATTTGCTTAAAAACACTTCTTGCTAAGATGGTTGCCACGGAAACACCAAAATACGCCCTAATGATGTTATCGATATTACATATAAGTCAACAAACCACATGAATAATTTGATATTGTCGATTGCAGTGGCCTAGAACTAATCCAAAGTTTTAAAGAGCAGCCTCCAGGTTGCATCGATGTACCAAAAACATTAAGACGAATTGTCTTATAATAAGGAAACCTCATTTACTAACGTTTCGTCAAGACTTTGCTTGTAATTACGAAGGAAATCGATACATAACCAATTCTCTTAATAATAGCGAAAAGCAACGTTTACTATTACTTCCTAATAATAAATAAGATGAATGGATCTTGATGTTCTCCGTTCGACATCCGGGGGAGCCCGCAGGGTCCGACACCGCATGCTGAGTACTCTAGATGGCGTCGGTCAAGCTAAATTTTCTAAACTGGATTATGTTTTGGCAGCTATTTTGAACAAGTACTCCTCCTCGAGCCTTTGTGCTATGATGAGCTGTCAGTGACGTCCCAAGATCATTGTTGAGGTAGATATCGACGCTTTTATCTGATCTAACTTCAACTCGAGCAGTGAACCAAACTCCACCACTTAGACTACCATTGGGACAGGAGGCCTCCTTGGTCCTAATTATACTTCCCTTTAAAACGTAACCAGGCTGATAGCATATGTCTTGCTTATGAAGCCTGAATAAATCGAAGGGAAGAAAAGAATTACTCTTTCATTATTGTAATACTTCAAAATCTAAACCATAATTTACCGCGTTTTACGGCATTTTATAACAGCCGGTCCCCAAAAGTTGCATTTTCGTCTGAATAACTGGCACCACCAAGATATCGAAGGATTGTGTAGTATATATTTCCAAAGCGGTTATCCCCATCTTGCATACTTTAGAAATTGCGGTTGCACTGTAAGCAGGATAAAATCACTAAACTGCTACAAACAGATAATCCTATCTTGCTATTGGAAAAATTATCCAAACACCAGTGCTGTCGGTTGAAATTCTTTTCCGAAAAATTGAAAAAACGGCTGTCTGTCATGTATATCACCTACAGTGTGCTAATGTAAATAAATTTTTGATCTACGTGTAATCATTCCATAACAAATACGTAATAGCTGTGATGATGAAAGCAAGAGGCAGTAGATGTCAGTGAGTCCAATTATTATATACTCTCAGACGGCTACACTCTTAAACATAGTTGGCCGATAAATCACAGAATAAATCACAGAACAAATCACCATTGGCTGAACTAGTATTATGTCTTGACACCACGTTTGGTTGTATAATTAAACGAGGTAACACCAGGTTTTCCTGGCTTTCCCTAAGCAACAAACCTGAAGTAAACAAAATCAAAATTGCTTTTGTCAATAACATTGTACATCACTCCAGGGTGTCCAAAATTTACGCCATCCTGTCCGATCACATTCATCAGTTCAACTGTTATTGTGTATCGGTTTCCACCCTTGATTTCCTCCTCGGGAAGAACGATGCAGAAATGGGGTGGCTTGTTATGATTGGCGTTCACTTCATAGCTGTTTGTAGCTTCTGATCTGGTCAGACTGACACAGCCTACCGCTGGCGGAAGTACAGCTTTTAAGAAAACAGATAATTCTAGTATTATTACTACCAGTTTTTTCTTACTTACTACGCAAGCTCGACAAAACGAGTGACCCTAGGCCTGAGGAGTTACGTAACCGACTCGATTCTGATTAGTTTGAAAATTTCAACCACAACGTTCCGTGGTCCTTTGCTTTCCGACCACTGGTCATGGGGAACGAAGACTCTGTGTACGAGATTGATCTCAATTTCTATTCTAGGGGCTTCAACGAAGACTGAAAATTTTGCCACCTGTGAAGCACGGTTCTATAGCTACAAAGGCTATTTTGTCATGAGCAGAGCACGGTTGGAAAACGACATGCACATATTAATCGCATTTCTGCACATGAATATAATACAGAAAAGAAAATGATTCCGTAGCTACCGAAAATACGGAAAATCTACGCTAGTATTCAAAGAAGTGTTAAAAGAATAACTGAAAATAACAAGAAAAAATAATAAAAAGGGAATGACGAAAGGTTTAGCAAGGAATGAAGTATTCATTCAGAGATCGGACTGAACCGATTTCACTCAAAACTGAATAATTCAGATTATGTAAGTTTTATGTCAGTTGGTTGGCTAACTTAGCTTGTTCAAACGTTGATCACCGTGAATGATTTAGCATCACAAACAAACTCGCTTACAGACTCTTATATAATTCAGGATAACGTATTTGTCGTAAGATTGAACGTATAATAAGACGTTATTTTAAGTTATATATTACCTTGTTCACAGAATCTTCCCGTCCACCAAGCTGAATTGCACAAACATGTGAAGTTCTCAGGACTGTTTACACACGTGCCATGGTTGAGACACGGGTACACGGAGCAGAAACTTGAAACTAAATTAAACAAAACAAATGAAATACACTATGGCATGTTTGGTTACGTCTTATATTACAAAATCGACATAAACGTTTATTGATAAAAAAGTAGGTTCACTAACTTTCTGTTTGCATGTCACAGTGAGCAAGAAGGGAGTTTCCAGATCTCGAGGGATCTAACCAGTATTTGCTGCTGACCGCCTGTCCTCCTTCACTAGCTTTGATCTCTGCACAGGAATCGGCTGGCAACTCGGGAATGGAACCGAGGGGCACTGGGGATTAAACAGTTCTCGTTAAAGGAGAAGATAAAAATTTAAATCATCCATCTTTCTATCGAGTCTTACGCGATGGTGTTTTTACCTTGCCGTTGGTCTGGTACCTGGCGTGCCTTTAGGATCCCTGGAGCTACGAAAGGTGGGGTGTTTATGGCCCCGAAACGTTCACCCTTACAGCAGAGATCTAAGGTTGGGCGTCAGACGAAACTAAAAACCCGCTTAAAGGCTTTTTAAAACGTCGTGTTTGTATCGTTTGATAAAACTAAGACTTCAGAAGTATTGGCAATGTTTAATTTTAGTAGATGATGACGTCACGTGAAAACCGGCTATTGGATAAATGTCGGGTGCTGGCCAAACCCAGCTGCGAACCAGCAACACGAGAGCCGAATTTCTTTCGCCATAAGAGATGATCAGAAGTGGCTGCAGCAATGCACGAACCATGAATAAGAATGGCAAGCTGGTTTAAGTCGTAAAGGAGGTGGACAGATACCGAATGGACGTCATTGAGATAAGGAAAGCAAGACAGACAGGATCAGGAATGGTGAAGGAAAGATCTGGCACACCGCGAGACACTTTGGACGAGAATTCAACTAACATGCAAAAGACGTGACGACCATCATATCAGACAAAGGAATGAAGACATTGATGAAATGGTAGCCCTTGTGGGAGAGACTCGTCATGGCTAGAAATAACTCCAAGTGCACCACGTTCATTGTCATCACGTGCTATATGCCCCCTAAGAACATTCTAAGGAATCGATAAAAGATGTCTTGTACGAATAGCTACTGCAAGTCATTCAAGAGTTACCATTACATGACGTGATATGTGTCATAAAGAAAAAGCTAAAAGAAAATACGCGAGCAGATTGTTTTAAAATTGTGTTTCTATTTTAGTATGAATCTACAAGCGTTCTATCACAAATGCCGTTCTCTGATTGGCTACGCTACTCACTATCTATTCCGTGATAGATAGTAAGTAGCGTAGCAGTGTGCCCTTGTTAGCAAAATGACGGCCGCTTCTGGGCGTTTTCGAAGTGTCTGTGAAGAGGATTTAGATTAAGTTTTGAACGACTAGTTGCTTTATACTAAAACAACCAGATTATTCGCTCTCGATCTCTATCACGCGATAGTAATCCCGAACTCATAATCTAATTGTTTATTAACTCGATAGAAACACAGAACTAGCACGAGCTGTTGGAAACCCTCGCCTAACGGCTCGTATTCCCACAGCATTTCTCGCACACCCAAACTTTCAAACGGAAAAACACGGTACATGATTGTAAAATTGTTACCCCAAGGAACATGGGACAAGATCACGGGGAGAAAACAAATGAAGTAAGACAAACGCAGCAAGCAGGCAAAGTTAGAGGATTCGAAAAATCGTCAGAATACTCAATAGAAACACGCAGTTGTTTTCGATCACTACCTGACGCGCGTCAAAAGCTCTTTGCAGTTTTGTTTTGATTTCCGTTGATATATTATTTTGGTTTCAATGATTTCCCTACCTCTTTTGGGAGCCTTCATCATGTAATATCTGTCCTTGTCCTTGATAAAGTCCTCTGGTCTGGCCTCCTTGGTCCTGTTATTCAACTCACATATGTCTTTGAATATGACATAGTTATAGCTTTGACACCTGACGTCAGAATTGCACGACTGTCTGCAGTCAAGCGAACCTGGGCGAGCACTGAACGTCTTAAAGGTGTGTCCTTTTAACATCATTTGATAAATGGAGTAACTGTCGATTCCACACTCCTGGGCGGCAAAGTTGCGGATCATCAAAGAAGCCATAAACAGGACGAAGAGAGGGATTTCTTGAGCAAGCATTCTCCACCGTCAGGTTTCTTTATTACCTGTGCGGGGATAGGAACAGTATCATTTCTAAACTAATTCTTGTCTTGAAAGAAACAGACATATACGGTTCTATTTATCACTGCAGCGCAGAGTAAAATGACTCCCAGTAACCCAACAAACCATCGCAGATTCCCCGATATTTCCTTGTAAACACAATCGAGAAAAACAGCTGCAAAATGTAAGCTCATTGATGCAACTTAGAATGTAGCTAGACCGTGTAGTTCATTGTGTGATTACTCAACAAAGTGTTAAAAAATAATAATTATATTATACTATAATGTTGCAGCGGAGGTCTATTCCAATCCGATTTGTACAGTAAAGAAGTGTGAAATGCACAGAGTCTGCACAATGTTTTCGTTAAGTATGTATACAATATATGCTAATATTACGCTTTGCCTATTGGAATGCTGCACGTGCTAATGAGATATGTTACATCCCTTTGTCTTAAACAATAAACATGCACTGTTATCGAGACGTACTCTCGGTCATAGGTATCCTATACATATTGGGAAGAATAAAGTCATTAAGATAGAATTTTAGTCTCTCTGCACTGTTGGATAGTCTTCTCTACCGTGTGGACTTGACTTTCAAACCCATGGCCAGGTGGATAATGAGGGGATGACGTCACGATCTCGAAGCCATATTGGTTTGACAGTTGCTTGAATTCGGCGGAGGTGAATTGGGTGCCGTTGTGGCAATGTCGAGCTTTGGGAATTCCATTCCCTGCGAACAATGCCTTTTTGTCATTAGCAACGGCTCCAGCTGTGAGTTTGTGAAGCTTTCTGATAAATGGGAACTTGGAGTAGTAATCAAAAAATATAAGAAATCACTATTGTTGGACGTAAAACAAGTTCGCACTCATAGTTTGCCACGGTCTTCAAGGGATTTCTGGTGGTATCATGGGTTCCTTTTACTGGGAATTTTAGTAATTCTGGCAGACACTACATGAGTTTACGAGATTTTCTATTTCTCTGTAAATGCTTCACCATTACACACATGATTTGGTTCGCAGTTTGGATTTTTCTATGCCAAAGTGCCCTCCATGGATTTGGTGCAATATATTGCCTCTCAGAAATTCAGGGACTATGACTCTACTGCCCAGGAGTATTATCCCATCTTCTACTGATATGTCATCTTGCAGGGACCTGTACGGTTTTACTGCTGAATTGACCCTTTTCACAATGTCGGGCCAGCCTTGAATAACCTGACAGGAGAGCAGCTGCAAGCTTTCATCTTTTGCAGTTTTGTCCTATAACTCTTGCAGCTTCGTCCTTAAACTCTTGCTCTTTTTCTGTATGGATTAGAAGTGTGGAGCTCCGCAATTCAACGCAGATATTTAGAGCGGATTGGCTCCTTCATTAGGCGAGCCTACCGATTTCGCTATACAAATAAGATCATTCTAATGCCTGATGTAATAAAGAATAGGGACAGTGCTAGCTCTGTTTTTAAGAGAATCGCTGCTTCCACCTTAACGTAACAAGGCTTTTAGAGATAGGGGTCATGACTTCATACTCTCTAGAGTGAAAACTAAACGGTTTAAACGGGCTTTGGTGAGTAGATGTCTTTTTAGATTTATTTCTTAATATCGTTTTTAACTTACTGTAATTTTGCATTACGTATGACTGGTTTTAAGCTTTATTTATTATTGCTTGTAAAGTCACACGTATGCTGTGCCTAATCTTTAATAACGACTTTTCTATTTTGGCGGGAGTGATTCTTATTAAATAGTAAACTTTCACTTTCAAGTCTGGTACCTCGCGTTCATCCAACCGTGAGAGACGGGGTAGGGCATCAGCTGTGACCATTTCTCTTCCTGGGAGATATTTGACAACCCATGCAGTCGTTGGGTTGTAGACGCAACGACATTCTTTGAAGGCGAGGGGCTGTCTGCGTGAGGTATTTTTGTGGATTTGCTCTAGGGACCGATGGTCGGTTGATGCTCTTCTATAGAGGTATGAGTGAGACATTTCGCACCCATAGACCACTGCTAATAATTTACGTTCGATATTGGCGTATTGGGTCTCCCCCATTGGGTTCATTTCTGTCATAGTACGCCATGGTAGTTGCTGCACAAATCACTGACTTCACCTTTTGAAAAGTTCTCGAGTGTGATGAATTCTACGCAAAGTCAACGTTTTCTTTCAAGAGGTCTCTTCGGGGTTCAGTGTGGTCAGCTAGCTTGGGGACGAATGAGCTCATATAGGTTGCCATCCCCAAGAAAGTGTGAAGTTCTTTCCCGTGTTAGGGTGGTTCCAGTTCTCCTATGGATTCAATTTTGTCTGGGCTAGGCTTTACACCATCTGGTGTGTATGCCATACCAAAGAAATTGCGTTCCTTTGTCTTGATGACAAACTTCTCGTCATTGAGTTTGGTTCCGGCTTTTCTGGTACGTTCCATACTTTCATGTAGGTGTACGTCATGTTCCTTGTCATTCTTTCCAGAGAGAGTAATGTTATCTGCAATGACGATAGCCCCATGACAATCACGGTATGTTTCATCAAACTTGAACTGGAAGGCGTCTCATTGACTCATGCGTAGGCCAAATGGCATCCTAAGGAAGCGGAATCGGCCAAATGGTGTATTGAAGGCTGTTAGGTACAAGGATTCGTCTAATTTGACTTTCCAGTAGCAATTGCGAGCATCAAGCTTGTTGAAATGTTGTGCTCCAACAAACTTATAGAAATCAAGAAAAGGAAAAGAAAACGTGTGGAAAACCATCAAAGTAATATTTTAAGGTTGCTCATTTCCACTGGAATGCGAGATTTTAATTAAACCAACGCCTGCTCAACCAAGAATCCGTGATGCGCGACGGAAAGGCCGGTGACGATCAGTGATCCTACGATGGCCCAGAAGGCTCACAGTTCAGTTGTGAATTTTCACAGTTCAGTTGTAAATTTTCACAGTTCAGTTGTGAATTTTCACAGTTCAGTTGAGATTTTTCACAGTTCAGTTGTGATTTTTGAAACAGTTCAGTTGTGATTTTTCACAGTTCAGTTGTGATTCTCCGCACAGTTCAATTCTGACCTTTTGGAACAAAAGCTCCGCCCTTGGCACTCCATCCGTCATATCCGGGCTTCTAAGTCTAGAAAAGGCGGGCGTTTTCGAACTTAGCATAACAGCCATCTTTGAGACGTGCAGTTATATTTAACGGTGCTCTAGAAGAAGTTACAAAATGCCGCTACCAGTTTATTCACCATGTATGAATGTGAATGGTGTTTTAGAGGATGACCAGTTGGAATTGATATCGAGCTATTTTAAACAGGGATACAGCAACTTGGAAATGCTGGAATTTTTAAAACTTCACGGAATAACGACAAGTATATCAACGCTGAAAACACGACTTCGAACCTTAGGCTTGTCAAGACGTCCCGCGAATATGCCTCTTGATGAGCTAAAGGGGATCATAGAGAGAGAGCTCGGNTCTAGAAAAGGCGGGAGTTTTCGAACTTAGCATAACAGCCATCTTTGAGACGTGCAGTTATATTTAACGGTGCTCTAGAAGAAGTTACAAAATGCCGCTACCAGTTAACTCACCATGTATGAATGTGAATGGTGTTTTAGAGGATGACCACTTGGAATTGATATCGAGCTATTTTAAACAGGGACACAGCAACTTGGAAATGCTGGAATTTTTAAAACGTCACGGAATAACGATAAGTATATCAACGCTGAAAAGACGACTTCGAACCTTAGGCTTGTCAAGACGTCCCGCGAATATGCCTCTTGATGAGCTAAAGGGGATCATAGAGCTCGGTGGCAGTGGCTACTTCGTAGGCTACCGCAGGATATGGGCCAGACTGAGAAGGACAGGATATATGGTAAAGAGAATAACAGTCATGAAACTTTTAAGAGAGCTGGATCCAGAGGGAGTCGAGGGCAGAAAAAGGAACAGACTTCGCCGAAGAATATACCATGCAAAAGGGCCCAACTTTGTCTGGCACATCGCTGGCTATGACAAACTAAAACCTTAGGGATTCTGTGTGCATGGAGCCATCGATGGATTTTCAAGGAGGCTAATTTGGCTCGAGGTTGGTCCCACAAATAACAATCGTGACGTTATCACTAAATTTTACATTGATGCTGTAAAACAAATCGGTGGTTTACCGAGAAAAGTGAGATCAGACGACGGAACTGAGAACAACATGGTTGCTGCAGTACATACATTTCTGAGGTCGAGCCACAGTGACGAGGATGGAGGTCTTGGGTGTTTTCTCACTGGCAGGTCCACAGCAAATCAGAGGATTGAAGCCTATTGGTCACATCTAGCTAAGGAT